GGAATGATTGTCGCGGAACGCGAGATCTGGCTGGCGATCTCCCGTATGCTTTGGGCGTTCAACATGGTCGAGATTCCGGGTAAGCCTATTGACCTGAAGGAGTACGATGGGCTGTCTGGCCGGTCGCCTGTGCCGTTCCACATCAAGCTCGTGCCACGCCACGAGAATGTCGCCAAGGTCCTGGGGTTGTAAATGCAGCTGTGCAAGACGAAATATATAGTTTACTAATACAATAATCTACCCTCACAACTCTGTAGATCTAATCCACTGCGACTATTTGTATCATTATACTTCATCGCTTTGAATGTATGACGCATTATTCGACTAGTAATGGCCGCTGTCACTTCTATTCGTCGGAGATCGAGCCCCAGGAGGATACGATTCATATCAATTAGCAGATTCGTCCTCATCTCACGGGTCTCGTACATATCTGAGAGAACTCAATGGTGCAACGCCTATGTGTTCACCAACGATACGCAGCATGTTCCTAGTCCTGCTCCCATTTCCACGACCATCTGAGGGCCCGCCAACGGTTCAACGTCAACTGTTGTGTATCTCAACGACTTTAATTTCCTGTTCATTGGTAATGATAGCCATATGGTAGCATGATATATTTGTAGATGACAGTAAGTAGTTGCAATGACAACCAGTATAGCAAGACATCCTTCATCGACGTGCTGATGGTACTCCAAGCGGAACTGGATAGGATGTCTTCGTGCGCTTCGGAGTGGGAGACCCGGGATCACCGGGGCCCGGAGTTGCAGTGGATAATGCTGCAGCATTGCCCGTTTTTGATCCTTTCGCAGTAGGGGATATCTCCTCAGTGTGTCAGTCGTTTTTCTTCCTCCGCGATTTTTCTTCTTGCTGAAGTTTAAAATCATTGGGGAGAGGTTCTAGCAGCGGAATCGCTTCATCAAGCGACTTGATGAAATCTTCGCGGACACTCTCAGACTGCTGTGTCTCATGCAACCTGCAGAATCTTACGAAGTTGTCCGGGGAGCCATGTCAGTTCACAATAATAAGGGGGAGGGTGGTCCAATACGAGCTCCTTAAAAACGCAGCTATGCATGATGAGCTTTGCCTCGCGATCCGCCGACTGTTGTAAGTTTCCTTCGAAAAGTGCCATCCAGCTATCTCGAAGAGCCCTGGATTCCCGCGCATCAAACCATAAATCCTTTTGACGCCGGACTGGACCATCGCGAGACAGGCAAATGTAAACAAGAAACCGAAGAAAACTCTCCATGGCATGTACTGCATCATGCTGCGGAGCCTGGTCTAAATTCTGGTCGTGCTCGTGTTTGTTGGCGTCAACCTCAAGATTGCTGTAGTCATTGTTGTCCTCCTGGCCAAAATATTCCCGCCTGGCAAGAATATCTCCAGAAATACATGGGCAGGTCCCTTGCAACAAAAAAGATAGGGAAATTAGAGGCAGGCAAAGATTATGACACCAAGATGACCATACCAATGCAGGATCATAGTCGGTAAGCATGCCTCCATATTTTTTCTTCCTTTCGCAATGATGGAAACGAGAAAGATATTCCAAACGCTGATGTCGGGATGTAAGACACCTCTCAGATAAGCGTTAATCCCTTGCAGTCGAGGGATGAGGCGCCCGGTCGGCCTGCGGGGCGGTCAACATACCTAGGAGCCGCGATTGCGCTTCATCTTATATGTTATTTGAAAGCGGCCGGAGGAGAGCCGATGTTGAAGGTCAAACATTGAGCAATGGGCGGAAGTTCAGTTTCAAATGTTTAGACAAGTTCCACGACGAATTTCGTTTGGCCTGAATCTTTCGAGATGAAGCATTTGCACCGACTGAGCTTCAGTAGTCATCTTTGCGGATCATCCACTTACACGATCCGCGGATGATTGATGTCACAACAAGGCGCAGTCGCGCAGGCGGGAAGTTCAGCTTGAACTTCTGAGAACAAGTTCAAGGTTACACTTGGTCTGATCTATCTATTCAAGCATATGTGTCTGTGCGAGTAAGAATTTTAAACGTGCACTCACACGTTCTGGGAACAACCAAAGTCAACATAAGATCAGATTAAGAGCCGTACTGCTAGCTGGTAGAATACTGCCAACAGTGAGCTCCTTCGCACCAACGCCTCTTGCGTCAACTTCCTCAGAAAATTAGTCACTGGATGTATTCCGCTGTGCAGCAGTAGGCCGTGATATCTCAGGCTCTCTTCAAAGATTACAAAGTCATGAACTTGAATATTTCCACCTTGTAGAAGGCGCGTTGAGCAAAGGACCACGGCGATCATGATCATTTTTGGCCAAAGTGGACCGTGGTCACGTTCCGTGATCGCGAGAATACATCTGTAACGGAGTCGTCAGCTATGTCGAGTCACTTCCCGGATTAGGCTTTGCTGTCTCATTGCACATATGTGCTCGTCTTGTATGTTTCGAATCACTCTCTGTTTTACTTCTATTTCTGCATTACCCTCTGCCCTGCTAGATACGTATATAAAGATCTCGTATGTCGTAGATAGCGGGCAGTTTTCACTAAGGCAAAAATCAGACCTTATTCCTGATTACTTGTTGCTGTGAACTCCATGTGTTCAAGCTACCAAACGCCCTAAGCGTCTGCGAGCGTCACAACGTCACCCGACCACGAGATGGTTCCGTGACCGTCGATAATCTGGCAGCATTGTGCTAACGCACAATCTGGACGAGATTACTGGACGTTTTCACATACACCCGAATATTCTGCAGCGATCGACACTACTCGGAATATGCGAACGAACCAGCCTGAAGAACAGACGGAAGTAATCAAAACGGAATTAGGTTGCCATCTGGAAGAATGTCCACTATTGTATCACAGAAGGTATTGGCCGGAGATTGCGACTAGCGATTGGCGGTATGGAGAGGTGACGAGAATTTTTTCAAATTTTTACTGGAGATCGAATACGCTAACAGATTGTAATTCGTTTTCGCGTTACCTTCTGATGCAGAGTTTTTCTCTTGTGGTATGAGCTGTAGTATACCATATGTGCGTACCAGTCTCAACCAGCATCCAAACAATCCCGACGTCGGTTACTGTTTTGACTGTACCACAGCGTATTTGACCATGCATGTGGGGACCAGTATGATGCAGCCTCGTCGTTCCAGCTCGAGCGGCGGACCAGGATGATCAACTTGTCTGGCAGTATGTCTGTATGCGGCCTTTGATGGAGTGTGAACTGGCCTTTACTGCTGGCAAATACATAAGCCGCACTTGGGAGAAGATAACACTGCAATTAATGAGGGAACTCTTCTGTCCTATCAAGAGGCAGTCAAGCGCACTCGTTGGGGGAAACGTACGTGTCCGCTCATGTTGGGTAGTTGGAGTTCTGCCCACATACACGCGGAACCAATAGGAGATTTTACTGAATCTAGAAGGATGCGACGAGACGAATGGAGATAGGATGCTGCGCAAGCGATGCGCTTCATGCGCTTCACTACTCTCTCATTTTGTCCACGACCTCACCCAGCCGGATACGCCGCAACGCAACGAGAATAAGCGTATCAGTCGCATACCGTATATCCGGCATCAACGCAACCCCTTGTTGTAAAAGAAGCAAAAGCTGAGGCCTGACGACCTAGTAGGATGTGGGGACCAGGGTAAGTAAGTACGAGCCGCAGTGGCTATTCCCCCGGGTTTTCTCATAAGAGTTCCTACGTTTGTTTGATGATAGAATACATATGGCGCTGGGTTCACTTGTGTCCGAGGCCGACGTTGGGTTCGCGTCCGGGTTTAACATGAAGTTCACAACTCAGATGCGGTTTCCAAAAGGCCATCTGTTTAACTTCAGGGTGATCCGCTGTGCTTCCTCAAAATGTCACAGACTTTCGCCAATGGCGCCAAAATAGGCAGTATATTTGGCGCTGCGAAGTCTCCGCGGATCACCCTGGTCAATCGTGATCGCAGTATCCGATCAAGCTTCCTTCTCCGGCGTTGCAAGCTGGCGCCCCGACACAAGCAGAGGGGCGAAGAAGCCCGTCGTATGTCCGTGGTTGGATGCTGGAGAACACGCTGGTAGCCGTCAGAGGAAACTTGCGTCGGGCTGGAATCTGGTGGGTTGGCTGCTGTGTCCGACTGCGAAGGACGAGGGGTTCTGCAGAGTATATAGTCTCGTTTGCTGCAGCGAGTCCAGCCAGACCGACAGCAGCCAGTCGCCTTTCCCTCTTCGCCACCACGCTCCTGCTACACTTACCTAGTACCATCCCGACTTCGTCAAGATGTCTGCTTATCCATCTCCCTCTGTTGTCGTACCCAGCCTGGGCGTGAACTCCGAACTTGCAGGCACCGAATTCAGCCGTGT